GAATAGCATTGAAATAGCATTGAATTGTTGTCATAATAACAGTAAATAAAGTGTAGATTTAATACCTTTTTATGGCAAACGGGTGTACAGTCTGTCACACATACGAGTGCTCTGACCACTGGTCTCAACGCTCGTCACACGTGAGTCAAAGTGTGGGCACAACTCGACCAAAAAACACAGTTATGTTTGAGTTGTGTTTTGCGGACAATAATAGACTGACAATTGGTTTGCAAACCAAAGACGTGAACACATATTGAGTGTATGTCTAGTAATACACAAACCATTCAATCAGTGGTCCGACTCTCACATACTCTGCGCACTCACTCTCTCTCCCAAAAGGGGTGTTAAGAGTGGCTCCGGAGGTGTGGCCACAGGTGTGACCAACACATGACAGTCTCTGTTCATGTCTTTACACCCGTTTTGCCAGCATATGTGCGGTTCAGTTGACTGAACCGTTGTTGAGATCATTACAATACTTTGCAAACTCTTTCTACTCTACTATTAATGCGATTACAAGTCTATAACTAATTTATCGTGAATTTTATTTCTCTTATTAAACGTTATTTTTTATGTTTTGAGATGTATTACTAGTGCTGATGAGGAGGTGATCACCCGTAGGGCTAGGCGTACAACCAATGCACCCGACATTCACTCCAACCACTCGGCCATTCATCTCAAAACAATCCACTTTATACTCATCTCTCTCTCTCTCTCTCTCTCTCTCTCTCTCGCACTTCTTGAGTGTGGGTTTAAGGGATAGACTAAATAACTGTAGAGACGATGTACTGTTGCAATGGGTCAGTGAATTGTGTGTCTGTCCGTCACTCCCGTCCCGAAGTTATTGACCATAGAATCCATTCATTTCAGTCATTCACTGCATTCCGGGAATTATGACTCATAAATACATTTTCCTAGAAATTAGTCCATCGATTGATCACTTCTGGAGATATTATAATCTTTTGGTTGTGGTATTCATAGATAGTATAGTGTTTTAGTGTTCAGAAACTTTGTTAATGACCACATATTTGCCAAATAGAGCATACATTTGGTAGTATTCATGCACAGAATATGCCGTATACTGTAGTAGAGTATACTATACCTGAATACAGCGACGATGAGACCATATCACCAACAATTGGTCCAAATTGTCTCCAAACAGGATTTGCTTCCTTCTCTCTCTCTCTCTCTCTCTCTCTCTCTCTCTTCAGTACCCTTTCGTGCATTCATTATGTATTCAAAACATTTCAATACAATAAGTGAGGCTTTAATCAAATTAAACCTATTGTAAGGCACGAGCGCTTGAATACCAGTCCCCTCTTTAGTACGACAACTCGTTTTTGGTTACTATAATTGTAGACAATTATAGGCGAGTCATCAACTTTAGACCTTTGGTGACCCTTTCATGCGATACTATTGTCTCACAATTAGTGCAATTAATTTTCAACACTAATGCATAAAACAAATCAATTTTTATTTATAAATTACACGAAAAATCATTAGAAATAATAAAAATAATTTATGAAATCAATTGACAATTACTTGTGAATTGCGTTCAAATGTCAAGATTTTCGGGTTTCATATCGATGTCGGAGTTCTTATTGCGGGACTCGTACCACGATTTGGCAATTGTCCGCTTCATGTCATCGTCTCCTTCGTTGTACATCTGCTTCTGTTAACCCAATAGACGAGCCGTCCATTCGTTCAGAAATATTTATTTTAGTTTTTGTTTCAAAGTTTTATCACCAAAAGTGTGATTGGATTTTGTGTTTTAACAACAAATTGAAATCAATTAAAACACAGAATAAACATACCATTAGTCTCATGAGTCCGGCCGATGGGTCGCCGGACATCTCCTCGTCCTTCTCCTCCAACGCCTCCTTAAACTTATTGGCCTTTTCTGTCAGATCTGACCACTGCTTCGGCGATGACTTCTTCAGATATATGATCAGTTTTGTGGCCGATTTTGTCCGCTTGTGGTGACACTTCTCGGTGTCGATCTCAGCGAAGAGACGACTCACAGAAAACTTGTATTTTCCAAAAACTATGCAAAACGAGCGCCGATTCGGGAAATTCATCACAATTTGTGTCGAATCTAACGAATAGTTTTTGTCGATTTCGATATAGATTTTGACGAAATCGTCGGTTTGGTCCCACATATAGTTAGTCACTACCACTGAACCCAATGCTGACTCACTTTTGGCCGAACACTCATTAGTGGCCACAGAAGGAGACGAACTATCGTTGGAAGCGATGGCCAACGACTCCAAAGCCACCAATTCTTTACGTTTGGCCAATAGTTCGCTCTTTTCTTGTGTCAATCGTTTGCTCTCTTTTGACAGCAATGTCTTGACGTGTTGTCGTTTGGCCAACAGTTCCAATGACAACAATTCAGACAAATTGTGGTCAATCTGTGGTATAAAACAAGAATCAATAATTTCTTGGACCAAAACAATGTCCACTTCAGTACCTCTTCGATGTCTTTCTTCAATTGTGCGGCCATTTTGTGTCCGCAAACAAGTATTCAATGGTTTTACAAAGTGCTCAAGTATTGGATCCAATGGTGACAATAGAATCGGAAGAATTGTTTCGTTGATAACTGTATTAATTGAACACAACTTTCGTATTAAATGTCAATTGAAAACAAAATTTTCTGGAATTTATGGCTCNAAAAAATTTGTGTTAAATTATAATATGTCTGTTGTTTTACATTACATTTGGAATGACTTATAATTGGATTAATTCTTTAACGAATAATTCACTCGAAAAGAGAAAAACTCATTATTAGATCTGACTTTAAAGTGAGAAACAAACAAATGAATTCATTTATTATTATTAATACAATTGCAATGCAATCAAACATTTAATACTTTTATAAAAAGACAATTCATTTTAATAGTCATTTTATTTGTTGTTTCAAATTAAAGGGCGATAACTAATGGGGGGTTTAAACCACTGAATAAACAGAAGGCAGAGAAATATTATTATTAAAAAATATAAGAGAATTCTGTTAAAGACTATATTATATGTATATAAATGTGAACAAACTTTTGGTGAAATAATAATGAATACAACAATTGAATTAATGACAAGAATTTAATTCTACAAACGCTCTGTCAGTTGAACGACAGGTTGCGGACCATTTGTCGGGACGTCTAATAACCTATCGATTGATTGACGCCATTAATCGCTTTGGAAATAACGACCCCGTCTTCGGTTACGGTCACCGTTTCCTTCCCGTTCTCCATAACCCTGTGTTCACACAAATCAATCATTAATACAAATACATCACTAATTATATAAATTATCGTCAATAGTAAGCGTCATCTCTAAGTCTTTATTTAATGTTTGCTTTTCTTCTTCTCATAAATCAATGTATAAATCGATTACAAGTCATGAATCAATAAAAATCTAGTTTATTTTATTACTGCCATTACTATAATTGATAGAAACTCAAAACTCGTTAAATAAAGTCATTACAAACAAGTAATGCAATGCAATGAAAATTGTATGCAAAAAATTGAAATGTCATTTCAGTAATTGAATATTCATTTCCATATAAAACATCTTTTATTCGTTAGTTTTAAACGAATTGCAATTTAATAGAAAATAATATAAAAAATTAAAAAACAATTCACTCTAAATTGAAATACTATATGATATCTATAAATACGTTGAAACGAAACAATGGGATAAACGATGTAAATCTGTTATCAAATAGTGTTTACTCAAGTGTTATATCATTTGAGTGCATCAAAAGTCAAACAAATTTTTGAAACAGATTTACAATTTCCTGGTTTCGTGTGACACTTATATTAGCTCTTCATTGCTCTTCATTGTCAATATGGGCGACAACTCTATAACTCTATTTTCAAACTATTTTTTAAACATAAAACCAATGCAAACAAAATGTTTAAATTACAGAATCCCTAATACTGTATATGAATATCCGTTTTATACGTTTTATTAAAACAATGGTTTATCAGTTGTGTGAATGCATAGCAAATATTGAGCAAAAAGTATTGTTTGACTTACTTTCTGGTCTCGACTCGCTTTCCGTTGACATATTTGGTCGAAGTTGTCGTCCGTTTCATATTAGGTCTGTTCCCGAGATCATTAAAAGTAGTGCCAGAACTGAATGTGGTAAAAGTGGACGCACTGTCGCCCCAGAGGTGGTCATTGAAGTGATCAAATTGTCCGAATTGGGCGAATGGGTTGAACGCAAACGTCATATTGTTTTGTCTATTCATAGCCGACGTGT